TGCTTTGAGTTTACATATATAGGTACTACATGTGGTTCTAACCCAGATTTGTTCATTTCATGATGATATCTTCAATTCTCTAATTTTGATGAATATTTTTGTAATTTTTGGTAAAAAGTGATATTTAGGACTTCTTGTTGAAAACTGCAAATCTAATTGCTTTGATATTACATATATAGATACTACATGTGGACCTCTCTCAGATTTGTTCATTTTGTGATGATATCTTTAATTCTCTAATTTTGTTGAATATTTTTGTCATTTTTGGTAAAAAGTGATATTTTCGACTTCTTGTTAAAAACCGCAAGTCCAATTGCTTTGATATTACATATATACGTACTACATGTGGACCTCTCTCAGATTTGTTCATTTTGTAATGATATCTTTAATTCTCTAATTTTGATGAATATTTTTTATTTTTGGTAAAAAGTGATATTTTCCACTTGTTGTTGAAAACCGCAAGTCTGATTGTTTTGATACTACACATATTGTTAATTTTCTAATGATATCTTCTGTTCTTTAATTGAAATGTGCACTGCTAATAGCGGAGCTATCTCAGCCGAGAGGCTGCTTGTTTTGTTATAGTTTGTTTGTTTATTGAAGTACTATCTTGTTAAAAAACCTAATCGGGGAAGATCTCCATATCAAAAAGAGCACATCTTGAACTGCTTAGTTATTGGTCTGATGCAAATAGAATGCAATGTCCATGTGTGGTCAGAAATTTAAAGCGCATACTGGAACCTGTTTTGCTGTCTGTTACATGTATTATTCTAAATCCTTACTTTCAGGAGTGTTTGTTTACTGGTTCAGTCTGCGTTACCTTGCATGCTGTATTCTCCCTCTACCAATGAGATGATACTTAGAGGGGGTACCAATGCTGAGATGGCACCTCAAATTGACTATACAAGCATGGTAAGAACATGATACTACACACTTTCCTCCCCTAAACATCTATTACTGGGGTACTATAAGTTACATTTTTTTTTTCACCACCAGTTTCCTTTTTCGGTTATAGTCTGCACGTTCCTTCAGAAGATTGTGACAAAATACACATATTTTTTTTATTAAAAACCGACAATCAGCGGAAATTTTGTCTGTATATTACAGACAAAAATGGGCGAGAAAGTCTGGTGGGGGAAAAGGTTAATCCCAGTGATAGATTGTTTTAGGGCAGTAACCCCTAAAAAAGTTATGTTTCTGGTCAGCATGCGTACCACCAAAAAAAGTGCAGGTCAACCTCTTTTTCCCAACTTATTTTGCCACTAAAAAGCACCCTCTGTTGCCAAATTGTTGAAACCTGTAAAACATGTGGCTTGTAAAATATTTAATCCAAAAAAAATTACTTCGCTTCTGAAAAACAATTTGACCAAATCCATTTGCGAGATCTAACATTCTCTGTTGATATATTTTGTTGTAATATAGACATGGAGATAGAAAAAATACATTTTTTAAATTTTGATATGGTAGTTTATGGATGACATTTGTTATTTTTTCTATAGGAATATTTGTCTTGTAATGCAACTTGTGTTGCCATGTTTAGTGTTTGGTTCAGGGAATTGTGTGGTGTCTTTATATGGTGGCACTAATACAGATATGGCACCACCCATTGACCACTATGACATGGTAATAAAACATACCTTGTATGTTTACTGTATTTGCTCTATTAATCGCTAGTTCACACGATTACATAAACTACTGAAGTGTTCTCTATAATCAAAATAAGCACCGTTAATATTTTAATGATTAGAAAAACTTTAAAAAAAATGTTTGGTTTATATGTATATTTTAATAGAGCAAATATGATATTGGCATTATCAAATTTTGTGCATTTCCAACTTCTTTTTATATTTTTCTAATTCAACAGTTGTTGCCAAAATAAACTTTATTGTACATTGTCCCTTGTTGTTATGACAAAGTGTCAATAAATTATCAACTGTTTCCCTGGCATACCTAGGTTGATGTCATTCTGACTTGGCTAAGTATTTGACATAATGAATACAGGTGAAAACAATTTAAACATAACCAAACCAAACCAAATATTTAGATATGGTATCACAATTTTCATGGATGTTTATACCTGTGTTTTGTGCAAAATGCAGTTTGGTGATGATATATTTTTATCTGGATTTTGTGAACAACAGCATAAAATACAACCATAGTGTAAACATTAAGGAAACCCGGTCATTTGTTTTAATGGTATCTAACTATCTCTACTCTAACAGTTACAAACAGTATGCAAAGAACCATTTTTAAGTTGAAAATTTGTGTTCAATGTTTTATGATATGGAAATCAACGCAGGATGGCATTTTTGTTGCGTATCACCATGTATGATTAATGATGGTCATTATAATAATAATATTTATTCAAATTGCTCAAATTCTAATTTTCTATAATGGAGTGAAATTCATTTATTTCAGGTGTTTCAACCAATTGCCGAAAAGTTTGGTGTGAAGTACAACTGTAATATCAAAAAAAGGTATTGTACAAAAATACTTTATAGTGCTTAAATTTATTTTAAATTGTGTGTCAGACACCAAGGCAAGTAAACCAGCCCTGCATTAATTGTTATTGAAGCATAAGATTTTATCAGACCACTGGGAATAAAAGTTTCGATTTTCACCAGCCCAATTGAAATTACCCGTCCGGGGCATATCTGAGCAGGCAGTAATTTCACACACTGCTTATACAATTATTATATTCAAGGAAATTGAACTGATTCAATGTAGCAATCTGTATTTAGTATCTCAACAAAGTAATAATTAATGATCATAATATATCTTTGGTAATCTTTATATATCATATTTGTTAGTCCCCGTTTGGACACAGTCCGAAAACGGGGACTTATGTTTTGACCTCTGTGTGTGCGTGCATGCTTCTATGCGTGCGTTCATGTGTGCGTCCGGACCTGTATCTTAGAAATGCCTGGACCAATCACAATCAAACTTCATACATACATCGTACATGATATTATACATATGCACGTCAATTTGTTTCACGATCTGATTGAAGATGGCCGAATGGCGGCCATTTTTGTGCTAAAAATCATCAAAATCGAGCATTTCTCGGCTGTTTACAGATGGATTTTGTTCAATCTTGGTATATACATTAGACATTATAGGACCTTGATGCACATCATTTGGTTTAACGATCTGATTCAAGATGGCCGAATGGCGGCCATTTTTGTGCTAAACAATCCTAAAAATCAACCATTTCTTGGCTGTTTACAGATGGAGTTTGTTCAAACTTGGTATATACATTAGACATTATGGGACCTTGATGCAAATAATTTTGTTTTTCAGATAAGATTCAAAATGACTGACTGGCTGCCATTTTGTATTAATGAATGTGGTTCTCGTGCCATATCTCTGACTTGCTTTCACTGATCATGTTCAAATAGATATATTGGTTTGACGATCCTATTCAAAATGGCAAAATGGTGGCCATTTTTGTGCTAAAAAATCATCAAACATCAAGCATTTCTGGCATTTATGGATGGATTTCGTTCAAACTTGGTACATATATTAGACATTACAGGTTCCTGATGCCCATCATTCATTTTTCAGATCAGATTCAAAATGGCTGTCTGGCGGCCATTTTGTTTTAATGAATGGGCTTCTAGACCCATATCTCCGACTTGCTTTGACTGATTATGTTCAAATTTTAAATATTCATTATACATCATCTCATAGATAAACATATATTGGTTCGACGATCCATTTCAAAATGGTCGAATGGTGGTCATTTTTGTGCTAAAAAATCATCAAATATCAAGCATTTCTGGCATTTATGGATGGATTTTGTTCAAACTTGGTACATACATTAGACATTATCGGTTCCTATTGCACATCATTTATTTTTAAGATCGGATTCAAAATGGCTGTCTGGCGGCCATTTTGTTTTAATGATTGGGCTTTTAGAGCCATGTCTCTTAAATGCTTTGACTGATTATGTTCAAATTTTATATAATCGTTATACATCATGTTATATATATACATGTATTCAAAATGGTTGATTTTGAATGCTGTTCCAGAGCAATATCTCTCAATATGGACAAGTACTTTTTTGACGATCAGATACAAATGTAAATCATTTTAATGTTAAAAAATCATATTCCTGACATGGTTATATTCCAGCTATATTACTATAAACAAAACTATATATCTTAAATTTGATAACTAACTGGGACTGTGCCATGCATGGCTTGTATTACTAGAGGTTACTACCCTAAGGGCGGTGGTGAAGTGGTAGTTAGTACAACACCAGTAAAACAATTGCAGCCTATAAAGTTAACAGATTTTGGTAAAGTTACCAAAATATTTGGACGAGCGTTTGTCGCCGGAGTGCTGCCATTGAAGGTAAGTAATTAAAAGCTTGAAAACTAGCAAAGACACTTGCATATCTGACCTCAATGTTTTGGTGTTCTTTAGAAAGGTTTACGCTAAATCAATAAATGAGTCAATTTTAAACAACTGAAACAATTTATATCTATAAGATAATCAACAAATTTCACTTCACAAATTACTCTGTGATGTCATATGTTGACAACCAGTGTGTGACTGTCTG